GCCCTCCTGTTTCTGCAAAGCCTATATCCAAAGCAATGGTCGCTATGCCAACATGAGCAACAACTGTCCTAGCATTTTGAGAACACTAGTGTGTTGTAACTTACTACCTAGCCCTGAACACCAATCCCTCTATCACCCCATGGTCCATTTTGCTACCCTAAACCCTACATGCCCCTATATACCCCTATGTGTACCCCTATAATATGCCTCTATATGCTCCGGTATACTCTATATAACCCTACATTCACTAGCATCCACGGGTCGCCTGCCGTGCCCCCTTCGTAAGAGGGAAGGCGTGTATTTATGTGACCCGGGCCGATCCAAATTCATTTGACGGTTCGCACTTGTTGAGTACTCCCGGAACATTCCATGAGTTTAATGGGCAGGCCTCTAGAAATCATTAAATACATAAATTCTCGAAGTTCCCTGGATCCTAGACAATTTTAGATTGGATTCTTTGAGTTCATGAATTCAAATTCGTGAAGTTCCATTTCACGAGTTTAATGAATTTAGTGGGCCGGCCTCTAGAAACCGAAAAACAACATTTGAGTCGGTAAATTCCTTGCTTGGGCTTGGGAGCCCAGACCGTCTTAAAGTAAATTCTTTCAATTCGTTAAATTCCATTTCGTTGAGATTGCGTCTCTCGGTGAGATCAAGCCTACTTGGGAAGCTGCCGCAAGCAGCGCCAGTATTATAATCGGTAATAAGAATAATAGTAATAGTAATCGTAACAAAAATATTAAAGATACTAATAATGGTCATGCATGCGCTTTTCGAGGCAGGGCTGCATTTTTGATGGTCAGCCGGTGCTTACATTGTCCCCGGAGTACAGGACGCCGCAGACTTTCCTGGCTGGTTTCGGTGCGGGCACGGTGACTTGGTGAATTGAATTGGTCACGTTCGGCAAAGAAATAGAATCTGGCTGGTTCAGCTGATTGTTGCGCTCAGCTGCCTGATGGAACACAGAATATGTTGGTTGATTGGAAGCGAACTTCACGCTTAGCTATAAAGTCTGGGGCGTCCGCCAGAATGCAGCGGCCTTTGAACCATCCGCTAAATTGTGTTGGAATGCGCTGCCGGCTCCAGCTGAATGCGTACTGGTATCTACTGGTGAAGTACTACTACTCCATGACAATTTCGCATGATGATTGTTTGTTGCCACCCCGAGCACAACCCAGATCTTTTGGTGGACGTATTGGCCCATTTCGAGTTTGAGACAGAGCTCATTATTTCGGTTTGGCGAAATATTCAGTCTTCGACCTCGGAAGACGGATTGGGCTTGCAAGACGAGCTGCTGCGCCACATTGCTGGGAACCTCCTACGCTTGGAATCTTGTGTTGCCGCAAATTTAGGCATTTCATTCCTGACAGAAGCTCGTGGCAAGACCTCGCAATTGTGTTGAACCCGCCAGTGATTCAAAGCAACGACCAGGAGCTTGCTTTTCCCGTAAATTTGCTTCCCATCTGATCAAGCGCGGGAAGTTACTGTTCCATCTGAACTTGTCCGCTCGCTGCCCCTCACGGCCTTGCCCGCAATCTTGCAAGGACATGGTCGCTGCAGCCAGTGGACACCAAGGTGGTTTTCATGTGGCTTGCCTTCCCCGGAAATCCGTGCGGAACATGTTCGGTGATGCGCATTTTCGTCTCAAAACTAGAGCTAGAGCTACCGTGAATGCAATCATCATTGGCGTCAAGAAGCGAGCGAGCTGCAACCGTGGCTGGGAAGTCTGCCGGGATCTGTTTTCTGTCTTCTTTATAAGCTATTCGAGTATGAGATGCATATTACCTTCGACAGAAGCGAAGATGTGGTTCCGTCTCGGCGTGATGCGCAAGGAGCCGTGCCTTGAAAATGTTCGGAGCACCACATGCACATGCTTTGGAAGGAGCTGCTGTGACTATTGGAGGGAAACTAGTGCTAGTCGTTGTAGTGGTGGTAGTAATAACAGTACTTGTCGTCATAGCCGTCGTCACGGTACGTCTCTCCCCCTCCCCCTGCTCTCCCCCATGATCCATGACGTCATGACGTAGAGTCTGCTCAACCTGCCCCGTTTGTGGTCTTTGTGGGCTTGGTGGTTTAACTTAAAGGTTTAAGTTGGACTTGTAAAAAGGGTTGTAATGTTGAAAGAGAGGCTTGAAAAGATTTAAAGAAGGTTTGCAGAGGACTCATGATTTTTTAACAGGTGTTTAGTGGGTTCAGGAGCCTTTTTAATCTTTTTATACAGCGCTCATGGAAATAGAGGGTTTCCAGAGGGCACGAGAAGGTTAACAGAGGTCTTCGCAATTTCAATAGAAAGTTTTTTGTCAAAGGCTAGAGAGTTATTGATTCGTAGAAAGTTTTTAATGGTTTAAGGAAATGCTTGGGGGTTTAGAAAGGTACCCCTCCCCCTGTGGTCCCGCGGCCTGAAGGTGTATGGATGGTTGAAAAAGCATGGTGTAAACATCTTTAGATGCAGATGGGGACATACCAAAGGGGTGGGGGGGGACTGGGAACACAGAGTGCGGAAACATATATACCCCGATATACCCCATAAAATTATCCTCACCTCATGGTTGCAGGCTTTGAGCCAGGTGTGGGAGCCTTAGCCGCGTCACCGTTCACAGCGATGGCACGTTTATCAAGGGTTTTTTTGATTCCGGGTTTCTGGAAAAGGGTTTAGGGTTTAGGGATTTTGGTTTTCCGCCCCACCAAAAACGAACCTTATCATTATCACTTGACGTTTGCAGGGTCCTCATACTAAGGGTTTGGGTTTCTCAGTTTCTTGTGCCTTGAGAGGTGTCGTCAGCTCACTTTATCTTTCTGCCCCACCTGCGAATTATCACAACGATTACCAGTGTTACTGCTACTGTGATTGTAGTAGTAGTTGTAGTAGTGGTAGTAGGAGGAGGAGTAATGGTTATTGTAGTAGTAGTAGTAGTAGGAGTAGGAGTAGGAGTAGTACTAGTAGTAGTAGTAGTAGTAGTAGTAGCAGCAGCAGCAGCAGCAGCAGCAGGAGTAGTAGTAGTAGTAGTAGTAGTAGTAGTTGTATTACTATTACTACTGCCACCTCTGCTACTGCTACTGCTACTGCGACTGGCAGCTGCTACTCCTACTCCTACTCCTACTACTACTCCTACGCCTACTCCTACTACTACTCCTACTCCTACTCCTACTCCTACTCCTACTCCTACTCCTACTCCTACGGTTACGCTACTACGGCCACGCTACTACTACAACCTCTGTCACTGCTGGTGCGGCTGCCAGCTGCTACTGCTACTGCTGCAGCAGCTGCTGCTGGTGCTGCTAGTGGAATGAGCAGCTCTGTCTATACTTCAAATTTTGAAGCAAACATTCCCTGTTGGACGCCCTGATTACTCGTAGGCCCCTTCTGATGAGGATGTCTATGGACAAAGATATTTAGCTACAAGTACTGATTTTGTACCTTCGAGTTAACACTAAGGGAACTTGATCCTACTCAATGGCCAGGTCACTTGCGCTGTAACTTGGGATTCCTTCCTTCCTCATATAGGGGCTCTGATTACATTACAAACAATCATCCAACATCACCAACAAACGCCTGCAACAGACCCTCAACCCTACACCGCCAGATCACTAGACCTTAAATCCCAAAGTCCCTAAACCTTAAACCTTAGGAACCTAAAAAACCTCACTTGGAGCCCTCCGCTTTTTAGGCTTGAGCCGGATGGGGTCATCATTCTTGCGGCCTCGGAGGATTTATGCTTGATGTTTAGGATTTAGAACTGAAAGTTTCAAGAATTAGGGATCCGGTTCGGGTGTCCCCATAATAAGGTCGGGAGTACTGTGGCAGATGGCGCAGGATGTGACTTTTGACCAGCACGGGACATGCAGACCTAAAGACTCAAGACCCTAAACCCTCAGCTCTAAAGCAACTTGTGCAGAATTTCAACGCGTGCAGTACTCTTCAAAAGCAACCAGCTTGCTTTACAGGGGGAAAATGGGGGCACCAAACATAGATCCGAATAGTCTAGAGTCCTTACCAGAGGTAGTCAATGCAAACCCCAAACCCTATACCCTTTTTTCCCCTTTAAAGGTCACCTAGTTCATGGAAGCCCTACTCCCCATATCATCTCAGCTTCCATTTGATTTTCCAGTATCGGGGTAACATCCTTAAGCCCTACAATCCCTGTTTCCCTTATATATCCCAACATAACTTCCATGATATTCCTATGTAATCCCTGCGTAATGGGAACCATTGCAGGACCGGCGCGGCGGCATGCGAACCTTCCAGGAGCTATGCGGCTGATGCTGATGTCAACCACTAAATGATACAAGTAGCAGTTCTCATTTTACTTTCCATTTTCTTTTCCATTTTCTTTTCCATTTTCTTTTCCATTTGAATCTCCTTTATTGGGGTATATCCTACTCACGTCTAGTCGCCATGGTTTTGGTCTTCAAGTCTTGCAATGTTACGGCTACGGTTCTCATCCTGGCATGCTGAGTTTGAAAGAGGAGCGGAGGGGACGCATGTGCCCGGACACCAGCCACTTGTGGGTAGCTCGAGCTTTGCGTCACTGTCACTGCCCCTGGCGCAGACGAGGGTGTCCAGAAGTTTCACATGGGATCAAAGCCAGGACCACATGGAGACAAAGGGCTTCGGGGTTATGGAGACAAAGCTCAGGCCAGGCCAGTTGCAAAGGTTAAGAAGCCTTGAAGGCTGACATTGCGCCATCCTGCATAACTGTCAGCTTCCCAACTGGAGCTGGGTGGCGTTTGCTTCCTGAGAATCTAGGCGTGTGTGGGATAGCAGATAGCACTTGTAATTGCTGACATCGCCGTATACTTGTGACCTTCGTCTGTCGGTTGCAGACATCGGTCTGTGTGCGAAAGTAAGGGCCCCCAAAATCGTAGAGTAGAGTTCCAGGTATAGGAGCCGCAGATAAGCAGTCACCTGCCTGATGTGACGTTGCATGAGCAGCCGTGCTGGGAACTGTCGAGTCCTCCAACTCTCTTCCCCTTCTCGCCGCTTGCCGCATCTTGCCGCCATGTCTGTCACCGCAGAGGAGGTTGCCAAGCACAACAAGGACGAAGTAAGCCTTGACTGCTCATGTTTCTCGAGTTAGGTGGCAGGCCGTCTCGAGCCGCGGAGCTGTACCCAGCAGTTTTAGTGGCACGGGTCCAGTTCTGGGCATGTGTTGTCCAGTGCACGGACTTGGCCAGCAGTCGCACCACAAGTTGCAGGACAGCGACTGCTGGGTGGTCGTTGGCGATCAGGTCGGGCCACTGCCCTTGCTCGTGTTGCTCTGCATCCAGGGTGGACATCATGAAAACGGAATCTATGCGGAAGCTGGAGCGCGTCTTGTAGCCCTGAAGCCTGAAGCTTTTTAAAGATGTGTGTTGAGTGCGCCCACAAGTGCACAATTTACAGGTGCTTGACGTGACCAACTTCCTCGCCGAGCACCCCGGGGGCAAGAAGTCAATCATGATGTTTGCAGGCAAGGACGCGACGGAGGAGTGGCTTGGCTACCAAATTTCCCTGGTGTTCGTGTAATTGCATATTTCTGTAGGCTTACTTTCTTATTTCTCTCATCACCAAAGCCTTGATATGAGGGATGAACAACAATTTGCTTCTTTCTAATTGCAACTGAATTTCTGTTGATCCTCAGTCGTACTCGTACCTGGTCTTGCAACCGCTGCTGCTGCTGCTGCTGCTGCTGCTGCTGCTGCTGTTGCTGTTCTTGATCTTCCTTGTTGCTTCTGGTGCTACCTGTCTTCCTCCCTTGCTGGTGTATTTGATTGACGGCCTTGTTCTTCAATGAGATTCACTCACAGTTGGACCGGGAAGGTTCGACATGCTCCATGACCGCAAGGCGGGGCGGGCAACTGTTGAGCTAATTTGCTTGGGCGGAAGCACGAAGACAGTGGTCATTTCCTTGCAGGTCATCAAGAAGTATGGCCTTGACGAGGCCGTGCTTTCTCTGCAAACGGTGGTGTTCGCATTACCAGGGAGATAACCACATCTGCCTGGGCTAGGGCACGGTGGTGCTCAAGGGCACGATCAAGAAGTGATTTGCGCCAACCTCAGGATCGGCTTGACAAGACGATGCCAAAAGCAGTGTTTGTCAGTGTTGTTTTGTTGTGTTCACTGGTCGCAGCCTGTGCAGGACACAAGAACCGTCCTGCGAGTCAGTCAACTTAGTGACTGGATGTCCCTCTGCTGTGAGGCAGTTGTTTAAAAGGTTGCATGCTTGGAGTTCTCTGGTAGAGCTCCTATGGAGTTCGGTTTCTGTACAGCGCCGCCCAGCAGAAGATGCTATCCTCTCCATACCAGCCATCTGACACGAAAAATGTTTCATCTTCCTCTCAATTGGTGCAACTGAAGCTAGACCAAGCTACGACTCAGGGTCAATGGTTTGCTCTGAGGGGCCCTCGAGTTAGGCAACATACTGTACCTCCTGACAACCCCAGAGGTTCCGTAACTGCTCGGGGCCTCAATGTAGGGCTCTTGGAGTCTTGAAGCCAGGTTGAATGGCGCATCCCAGGATTTTGACCAGCTCTCTCCTACCGAAACCTTTGAAATCGGGATTCTGCAGTCCCCAAGATATTGAAACCTTATCCACCCTAAACCCTAAACGCTGCACTAAGTTCTACCCCCCCCCCCCCCTAGAGAGCTCTGCGCACCAGAGCTTGAGCAGGGTGCCGATCCTTGGCAGCTTCCGAATTTACGAGTGCCGCAGGCGGACACCTCGTACAGAGCTTTGGGTAGGGGCTTAGGGTTTAGGGCTGGGGGTTCCGAGTTTGTCTCTGGGGCTTTAGGATTTTGAGATTTGGGTCTAGGGTTCACTGGGGGTTTAGGATTCAGGCTTGAGAGCTCATCAAGAGTCCCAGCCTGTTGTGAGGATCGTAGTGGCTTTGTATATAGGAGGGACCCCCCTGTTTAGGAAACCATATTAGATTTTGTGTGGATATTATGCTTTCTATGGCCTGTCATGGCCTGTCAGCAGTGGACATGGAGTTTCTTGTCCAGGATGGTCTCTAGGGTTTGGGGTGTAGGGGCTTTTTAGGAAGCGCATGTGTTCAGTTTGACTACCACTTATCAAGGAAATTGTCAGAACAAGGGCGATCTAGCGCAATACACAAACAGTTGTAAAGGTCCTCGTTATAAAGACCTTCAAGAAAAGAACACGATTTTAAGAGACTAGCGTTTTTCTTATTTTATCCCAAAATACGGACAGTAAGAGTAACAGGCACGGTGGTTGTCTGGTAGTGGTGTTGGTTGTGGCAGTAGTTTTGACTGCCCAAGCACACAGCCCTAAGACATGTTGTGTATCAAGCACCTCCCACTGCCAGAGTGACATGTTCTAGCTGCCAGCACCCTAATCTTCTGAACCTGTTTGCCCTCCTGCACTTGACAATGCGCTGCGAACACACTGTAAAGCTTTTTGCCTTGCCACTACATATAATCCCATATAATCCCTATGTAATCCCTATATAACCCCATATAATGCCCATATATCCTTATATAATCCCTATATAACCTCTAGCTACTTTCCCTCCCGGGCCTAAACCCAATAGAGCTGTAAAACGCCCGTTTTGTCTTCGACATCTGTCAACTACTGCAAGCCTGGCAAAAGCCCAAAAGAAAGCCCTACTGTGCACCCATACAACCCATTCATTCAGATACCTCCCATCCTTCAAATTTCATGCATAAATGTTTCTGTGAGATCAGCCTCATCCGCTCCGAGGTCCCTGTTTGGGAAGTCCTTCCAACTCGTACAGGACCAGGTTGGATCCAGGGTTTATGGACGAAAGAACCAGAATATAGAACTTTCCAAAAACAAGATGGCTCTTTATGGGGGTTGGGGCACCATTGAATTTGCCCATGTTCTGGGTTGTGTCCAAGGCCCGTCCTGGTGTCTGAAGACTTCTTGGAACAGTGTTCTTGCAGGTTGTGTCTGCAAAGAGCGCAGAATTGGCTCCACCAAAGGCCGCGTGGATTGCTGCTTTTGAGACCAGCAGGTGATATAAAAGATCCTGCATGAACTTATAATACTAGACTCCTACACATCCACAGGTTTAGTGTGCGTAGGGTCATTCAGGCTTTTAAATTTTGAGTGTTAACCGATGGCTGGCAGCGATGCAGATAGGGTGCACCGGCTAGCCCTGCCATGACCGCAACCGCAACAGAACAAACCATCTCTGGAGATCACCAAGCTGATACGGGACTTTCTCATAATAAATCACTCCGTGATCATGCCCTGCACTCTCTCTCGTTCTGTGGACCCCATCTTGAGAAACCGCCATATGTTGATTTTTTCGCAGGCCGTGGAGCTGCCCACAGAGGTCGCCTGGCAATGTTTCACGACACTTGCGCGGCTTACCTATGCCTACGGAACACATCCAGCTGTTGAGTGGTTATGAACAGCTTGTTCTTCGGTTGAAAGAGGGGGCCTGAAGTTATTGCCCAAAACTTTTCTACTGCCATTGCCCGCCGGGGTCCATGTGAATCATTGGCATGTTGCTTCGGCGGTATAAGTTGATCTGCATTGTGATGTTGCCCCTCGTGTCTTACAAAGCATATTGGAGTGAATTTGGTGAAGAGGCCGTGCGGCCACCTGTGGCTGTGAAGCCTAAGGCCGCCTTCTTGGATATGCCAAAATATGGGACCCTACCTTTTTCTGGGCATGAACTAAAATCACTTAATGGGGCTCCTCAGGTCTTTGGGGTTACCTGCGGCCCTCTGCAGGGATTCGATTGGGATCCCAGACTCACCGTACTTAGGTTGTATTTGGGATAATGCTGTGGGGGTACCTTGTTGCCGGGTTTTGCCATTGTAATCTTACTGTCCTGTGGTCGTCCAAGGAGCTGCATTTTGGCGCTAGCTTTTGTAGTGCTCTCTTATCAGCACGAGTATTCGAACTACCGTCAGCCTTGCTATCATGACGTTCTCCCCTCTGAAGAGATCTTCATAATGTGTAAGCCAGGTGTTTGTGCGCCACAGAAGCGCAAGATGAGTTGCATGCTTCCTGGAGACTGCCGGTCATGGCCGTCAACACGTGTGTAAGTGTAGTGTTGCATTTCCGGACACGATAGAACTGACAACTCTTTGTTTGGGCTACCATAGTTGCAGCCATTGTTGTGTGCTTCAGTATTGCCAACTTGAAACATTCACAGGAAAGGCCGCCTCGACTTTGGCGCGTTGTGGGAGGCCAGAAGCTAAGCGGCTCTTCATTCCACAGAGCGTGGGAAAGTGACAGGAGTCATTGTGCAGTGCCAGCGGTGGTAGTCAAAACGGTACTGACAGCGCGAAGATCAGCCGAAACAGTATGCCCAGCAGGGGAAAGATGTGTATTGCCTTGCCGACTACTTGTGTGGTATCTAAGAATTGCAACACTACTCGTAACGGTACTGGCGTATACCAGTGTTAATGTTACTTGCCATTCCGCACCCACGGCGCTGATGGAACTATGCTCTGAGGTCGGATGCAGGGCGGAATCATTGCCGGGGAGCCCATGGCAGTCTGCCAGCGATGGGGGTTGCTCATTGTACACTCATGACTTATGGATTTCGTCACCTTCCGCAAGCAGTCTCATGCCTGCTTGCCTGAGCCTTCGAAATCGTTTGATGCTCAAGACTTGCCTAATTAGATCAGCACAGACCCAAACTAATATAGCCCTGATTATCGGAACCCCTAATAAGGTATCCCTCCTTCTGGGACACCCCCATTTAGACTCCCAGCAGGCTTTGAATGTGCTACCAGACCAAGCAAGCTGAGGTGCGGCGTGTTGCTGAGGGCGTGGCCAAGGCAGATTATGCTGGGCGCCTGAAACACGGCTGGTGACCCGGAAGGGTTTAGGGGTCAGGATTTAGGATCAGGATGGACAAAAGGGAATATACTGGATCTTTATAGGGAACATGGAGCAGAAATGGAAGCTACTACTGTATAATTGAACTGTATATATATATATATATTGTGGGATTATAGTACTGAATGAGGAAAAGCTTCTATAGGGATTATAGAGCGTCATATTCCAGTATTCCCTACTGAGAATCAGCAAGAAAAGCCTCCTTGGTCATGGCTCCTTTACATTGACAATAGGCGCAACCCCATAGCCGACATTAAGCTGGGAGTCCAAATGGTTCTTTCCCAAAATTCCGGATACTTGTAGCTGTTTGGGGGTCCCTATAGTGAGGCTGTATTTTTGGGTCTATGCTGAGGTGCCCCTATGTACGGAAACTACCATACTAGAGTATGGATTGTAGTATTTTGTCCTAAACCCTAAACCCTAAACCCTAAACCCTAAACCCTGAACCCTAAACCCTGAACCCTAAACCAGTTCCCTGGATGCGTGAGAAGATGAGGTGCCCTGGTCCAGGAGCTGGAGCGTACTGCTCTGAGGCCAGAAAATGCACAGGGATTATAGACTTACTGGCTTAAGGGGGAGTGGAGTGAATATAGGGACTATTTTACACCCCTACTATATGAGGGTCATATAGGGATCATTATGAATGAGGATCCACTGCCCCACCCTCCTTTAGTGAATAGAGGGATATCTTTGATGCCTAGGGGTAGTGGCAAAGAAAATGGAAACGACTACTCAGGATTTAGGGATATTACCCCAGTAGTGGAGAATCAAGTGGAAAAGCAAAAGGAAACCGGGTTGATATTCGGGCCTGTTTGTACTGTTGGCAAAGCATGGGGGGTTCTCGCATAACTGAGGTACACCATTGAGGACTGGAAAGATATGGGAATGGTAAAGGGATTGTGAGCATCACTATAGTTTCGGCTAGCTCCCACAGGCATACAATCTAGGCTCAGAACTAGAATCCACTCGAAACTTTAGACACCTCTCTGGGACTCCACATGGATAAACCCTAAACCCTAAACCCCAAACCCTAAACCCTAAACCCTTTTTGCTGGACATCCCAGAGTCTTGTGGAGGTTACTCTACACCAAGCTGGATGGTGATGGACCGGATCGAGGCAAAGGGCTTCTAAATCCTAAGACGTAAGGCCTTACCCTCGCAAGGTTTGCGCACTGTCCACTCTTGACTCAAAGGGTGATTAGGTTTGGGGCGTAGGTACCGCAGGCAAATGCGGTCAAGATCTTACTCAAATAAGTAAGATCAAGGACTGACGTAGCTCTCACCGCCATTTTTCCTCATGGCCCCTCTTCTCCCCCGCGAAAATGCCCTTATGAGAGGCCAGTGTCTCTTCAAACTGTACGAGACAAATCGGCTGCAGCCCCCCTGATCAGATTCGAATAGGTCGAATGGATCTCTACATCAGCTAGAGGTAGAGCCTAAAGCCTTATACCCTAACCCCTTAAACCAAACCCTACCCCCTTAAATCCTGAGTCCTAAACCCTGAAGCATAGTTGGCTGCCAGGTTGGGTTAGCTTTCAGTCAGCCAAAGGAGCTCTTCTGATCAGGAGAGAGGAGGGGCTCACGCTGGAGGAAAAACGGCATGCATGGGTACAGTATGGGTAGGTGCTGAACATACGGTTTTAGTCACTGTGGTCCTTGTGCATGCGCGGATGCCATATTGTTTTAGTCGGCGTTGGGGACCCTGAAGTGGGTCCTGTCCTCTGCGCGTATTGATGGATGCAGAGCATCAGCTCCACTATGGCATAGCCTTGAAGCCCGAATAATGACAAAGAACATTCCTTGAACATCTAGCCAGTGCAATGGTACTGCGCCAAGCACCCACAGATCCGCAGCTGTCCACAAGAGACACAAGTGAAAGATGGCAGCATGAACCAAGTTTGCGTGGACAAGAAGGGCTGTCAATTGTGATGTAGTAGTTTCCCAAAATTAGGGTACCCCAATATAGACCCCAATATACTATAGTCCTTAGAATGGGGACCCCCAAAAAAGGTACCCCTAATTTTAGTAAACTACCATGTAGGTCATATTCTTTTTGCACATTCAGACAACTGTGAGCGAGGCACAGCCCAACCACAAGTCCATGCCCATGACGGCAAGCACAGAAGAACTTTTACAGGGAACCACACAGAACCCTAGCCCTTTGCCCGGTTTCCGTCAACTCTTCTCAGACCCATGGCTTGCAATTTAGTTTCTGAAGAGACTTCGCTTGCAGGATTTGATGCTCCATGCCAGGGAAGAAGCAGAATAAGGGTCAACGTGAGACCTGCGAACAAGGTCTTCTGTTCATGTGGCTTGCAGCGGTCCTTTTACTTCAGTAAGTCAGCAACGGTAAGAAGAGGTGCTTGAAGCACGGCGCTCGCTGTTCAACCTGCAAGTTTCTCAGGGAGCCGAGTGTGCGAGCACCACGTTACACGGCAGCCCACTTGTTGATTTCAGCATAGATGGTTACCCACACTAAACAGACACCACATCGCAGGCGGCCAGAAGTTTGCAACATCCCCTCCGGCCTCAACCCTAAAGCTCTCGCAATCCAACTTGGACCCGCAGCTGAGCCTAGCACCCTACACGCCACGGCCTCCCCCATCCGTTCAACACTGCAAGCCTCAAACCACCAAGCCTTTAACCCCAAACCCTAAACCCTAAATAGTTGTTTCCACATATTTTCCATTATCCCTATATAACCCCAATATGTACCTCTATAATAATATAGTAGCTTCCATTTTCTTTTCCATTATCCCTATATAACCCCTATAATACCTCTATATTCTCCCTAAACCTTACATCCTCCAGGATGGGAAGCGCGGACTTCGAGCTTCTGGGGAATGGCTTCTGCATGGACTCCCAGCGCCTAAAGCTGCAACCTCTTAGGGCTGTAAGTCAGTACGGGAGGGTTTCAGGATGTTTCAGGAACCTCAGGGTTTTGGGTGTTTTAAGGCTTGCATGCATGGAGTTCTGAACTCTCAGTATTGCAAAGAAATTCCGTCTTCAAGATTTCGTGTTCAGGGCGATGACGCCATGTCAACGAAATTTGTCTTCTGGGAGTCTTTTTTCCTAGCGTCTGCCTTTATCAGGTATCAATCCTTGGGTATCCACAAAAAGAGGACCCAAAGTTAGACAGACACTGTGCATGATGCATCCTGTTCCTGCAGCTTCAGCATTCATGTGTTGAATGAAGTTGCCAGGCCCAGGAAAACATGGCATAAGTAAGCAGGCGAGCCCTCCCCAAACCCTGAAGACTGATCCGACGATTTCGTCGTCTATTCACGTGGGCTATAGTCTAAACTCATGGTATCCCCCCTTAATGACCCTTGTAATACTCCCCTATATAACCTCCTTTAAGGAGTTTCGACTACGGCTCATGTTGGGCACTGAAGTGGGGAGGTAAGGTTCCCTACATGCTCCCGCTACAAAGACCCAGAAGTGGTTGAGATGCCAGCCTTTCATGGACTAGGGCAAAGGAATGCCATGCAGTTCATTGGCCACTGGGCTCCTACTTGCCAAGCTGGGATGAGGACGAAAAGCCCTGAGGATTTGAAGCCTAAGCTCCAGAGACCCTTCGGCAGACAGCCCACCAGCCAAAACCCCAAACCCAAAACCCCAAACCCTAAACCAACCAAGGAATATCTATTATGATAGCTTCACAGCCTCCCCTGGGGAGAACGGCTATGATGGGACGCTAGCCATGTGCGAGAGTCGCTCATCTTCCAACCCGCAAAGCCCTGGGTTCGCCTTCAGCACCGCGAGCGACTGTACCTGGATCAATGTTAGGGATCCTTCATACTTCTTGGGGTATGGACTTCCTTGAATTTATCTGAAAAGGATCCTTTTTTCTTCCTATGTTTTGCAGTCTTTCACCATGTTTAGCAGCTACCAACCCAGAGTGGGGGGTGGCTGGTGCGGACCAGACCGAGCCTTTTTTCTTCCTAGGGTAATGTGGGCTAAGGTACCATCTACATGTACAACAACCAGGTGCGGGGCTTCGCGGGATGATTCCTGAGGACTTCCTTAAGTTTTGCAGACTCAAACGGGAAATAAGATGGAGAATGAAATGGAAGCTGGGATTCTGCAGGGGTTTATAGGGATTGAGTTTTCGCAAAATTAGGCACACTATTTTTGGGGGTCCCCATAATAAGGATTGAGTATATTCGGGTCTATATTGGGTTCCCCGTATTTATGGAAACGACCACATCCTTTCCATTTTGTCTAAGCTTTTGCGGGCTGGGGGCTCTGTTGGTGTCACTCGGAGCTCTGGAACAAGAATGCGATGTAAGCACAGTGCGATTATGAATTTTTCCGTGGCTGGCAGGTACCGATTGGCTTCGAAGTCCCAACCTCTGGTATGGTCACCACCAACTTTGGCAACGGACCGATCAATCAGGCCATTTTGCCGCAGCTCACGAAAGATGTTCCGTAAGGGTCGTACTTCTGGGTCAGCATATCTCCTCGTCCTTTCCAGGCATCTGGGCACATCACAAGTTCCTGCTACCGAAAGCGGCCCACCACGACAACGACCACCAGCACGAGTGGCACAACGGGAGCATCTTCTAGCTCGACCTCATCTGCAGCCTCCCCGACGACCTCGACATCCACCGCTGCTCGAGGCATGGCCTTGCTTGGGACAGAAGGGGTAGTTTCACGAGCAGGGTACCTTTGGGGCAGGTAGCAGGTACTGTTCTGTTGTCATAGGAGTTTTTCCAGTAGGTTGGCATGCGTTCCCTACAGGAGCTGTCTCCAGCAGCTACACCGAGACCACTGATGCATACTGCTCCAATGCCATGGACAACGGGCCTTCCATCATGTCCCGCCATGACTCCTTTGAAAGCTGCTGGGATTATTGCGCTGCAGAGGTTACCTGCGCAGCATGCTTCCAGCCATGCTTGGATGGAACTGGAGGTGAGAGAGTTGCAATTCCAGGTATATGGTAGTGTTGCAAGATAATGTCTGCATAGTACCATAGTCTTTCGTCAGATGAAAGGCGCTTCACAACAGTATTCCACATTGGTTTAGGCCCCCACCCACTAATAGTGGTATATTAGGAGTATATAGGGACCCTAAGATAATTACCATTATCCATTGTGGTCACTATTAGTGGGAGGGGGCCCAACCTAAATTCCACATGCATGGAGCTGGCTTTGCAGGTGGATGTAACGGCGCCACAGGTGACTCGTCGCTGTTTGGGAAGGGAGAAGGGGTTTAGGGGACTCAGGGGTTTGGGGTTTAGGGTTCAGGGGGGTTCTTCAAGGCTTGTGAGCCGACTGCTCAATGGTGCAGATGGCTAGGGGTTATAGTGGGGTTATATTGGGATAATGGAAAAGAAAATGGAAACGACCATTATGGGTGATATAGGGGTTGTATTTATGTTCGTTCAGCAAATGTTGCTCTCGGTATGGCCCATACAATCACATCGCAGTCAAAATTAATTTTTCTCAACGCCACAACTGTCAATCTCGTCTGAACCCTTCGAGCCAACCGGCTGCTTGCAAGGCGTGCACGCAGTGGTATTTAGGTATTTTATAATATTATATAGGAATTATATATATATATGGGTCTATAGAGGTTATTTATAATGGAAAAGAACATGGCAGCTAATGTCTTGGGTTGTTGCAAAGCATGAACCTCGCACTCGTCTCCATGCAAGCGTTGTATTCACTCGCATCCCGAAGCCCCCACAAAAAAGCGAAGGTGCAGGCCCTAAGTAGGGATTTCCCAAAATAAGGGATACCATTTTGGGGATCCCCCTAAATAGGACTATAATATTTGGGGGTTTCCCCTTATTTTGGGAAACTACCAAGTAGGCCCTGTAGGGGGACCATACCAGGCCTTGCTTAAGATTTGGATGTTTCCCAAAATCAGGGTCACCCTTTTAGGGGGTTCCCTTCATAAGGGTTACAGTGTTTCAGGGTTTACATTGGGGTCCCAAATCCTAAGCCCTAAATCCTAAGCTACCACAAGGATGTGAGTTCCTGGCCGTCAACCTTTGCTCTGGCAAGACGGCAGATGGCTGCGGGGCCCGTATCTGGAGTTCCTTAGCGCCCTAGTAGAGCTATAGCCTAAACTCCCTAGAGGGGGGTTATATAGGGCATTATAGGGGAGTATTGTAGGGGCTATTAAGGGGGATACCAGGAGTTTGGCTACTATCCCCCTTGGAATGAGTTTTAGTTCCTATTGTCGTATAGCTCTAGAGAAGCGTCAAAACAACTAGATTTGTTATCAGTCGAAGGGTATTGTAGTAGCTGAGGGATGACTTGTGGGACAACTAATATGCTTTCGTTCCATTGCTGCCACTGGTTACTTTGTTGGTGTTTCGATCGCTGCTGCCGTGTATGGGGATTGGTCTAATAACCAATATTACACCTTGGGGTTCCTATTACAATACGGGTCCCTACATGAACTTCCTCCTTTTTTGGGGCACTGCAACTTTGGCCAAGTCCCGTATGATTGAGGTTGTCATGGCTATCTCAATCTCACTGTCATTCTTGTCATCTTATCAGGACCTTCATGGTTTTGACTACTGCCATTGGAACATCATTTTTAGTTACTTTTTGTAACCACGGTTTTGTTTACCGCTCTCATCATAAGTCATAATTCTGGCCGTGTTGGTACACGTGCTACAGCGCTACAGATGATGCAGTGCTGCGGATGTTTGGGTACTGGAGTTTTCTGCATTGACTGAGATGTTGGCTTCAGTTTCATGATTCGAGGCTCAGGGTTGGGGGTTTCCGCGGTGAGCTCTATGCTTGAGGCCTTAGTGGTCTGAGGTTTACGGGCTGAGGCCTGATGTACAGGACTCTAGGTTTTCAAGACCTTTTCGTCCGACCGAACCCTACACCCAAGAAACTGAACCTCAAACTCTGAGCCGTGCCAAGAGGTACTGGCAGTACTCGTACCATCTTGTACCATGTCTTTTTTGGAGTGCTGCTTGTCAGGCTCGCACCCAAACCGAAGCCCCTGCTGATGCTCAAAGGGCTTCCTCGCAGCTTAGGAAGATACGGCAGCACTGGTGATCCGATGCTGGCCGTGCGCATCGTGCTCATTGTGGTGGGCGCGCTGGTTTTCTTAGGCCGCATCGGGGATTTTAGGCATAGTAATAGAGCTTCGTGAGCATGGTGTACAAGCAGCATCAGACCGGTTTCCGGATTTTGTGCTGAGACCAGGTTGATGAAATTGGTGAACAGGTCCAACATGCTGACCTTCTTTGGAGTAACGATTAAACGAAGGAGGGGCGGCTTACTCCGGATACTTGGGCAGCAAACCTACCACCTTGACTGCAGCAATTTCATCACTTCTTCCATTCCTCTACTTCTGATCTGTGAATTGCGTGAGATTTGAATTTATCCCTGGGTCTGGAGAAAGAATCTGGAAATTCAACGTCCCCGCAACTTCAACCTTAAGGGAGATGCGCTTGTGAAGAGGGCTTTCGCATTGCACCGTCTTCAAGAAAGAAAATGTCCGGTCGCTTTCGCGGGAGGCTTCAGAGGTGCAGCCAGCGGAGCATGTCCAGGATCAGCACTTCATCCAATACTCCAACACATTCACAGAACCCATAGCCTTCTAAGCATTCAAGTACTGTAAGCCGCCGACGGCAGGTTTGCTTGCAGCATATTGCCTCTCGGACAGAAATGCTGATGGGTTGCTGCATGGCAGGATCCACTACTGACGTAAGTCTGTGTACATGTGCGTGCCGAGGAGGCCCTGTATGCCCCTCAGTCAGGGATGCGTAGGGTTCGGAGCCCAACTTGCAACAATAAGAGTCTGTTGGGCCCGTGGAATGAAACGGTGTGGGTAAGCGCCACCGCTTGTAGCGTGTAAACGTGGTCGAAACAGGACTTTACTTTGCTACAGAACCCAATGAGTATATGCAGTGCGGCCTTCACTACACTTCCCAAGTGAAATCACATGGAAAAGAATATAGAGAATGAAGCCGACAGTGGGTTTACATGGGGTTTGTTTATTGGGATTTTCATTCACACAGTATAAAGTGCTTACAGCAACTCAGGGCCACCCGAGCTTGCAGGTAATTTAGAGCCTGGCCCTAGAAAATCACAGGGCATGTTTTGCACAGGCCCTAGCTGTTTTGCAGTTTGAACCTTTCATAGCTTCGATGGAGTCATTACTTGGCTTCTTGGATTCATGAGAGCTTCCAAGCATTTTGAAGTGGTACTTTTGGCAAAGCGCTAGACCACAAACTCAGACCCTACCCTAAACCCTAAAACCTTAAAACCTATACCCTAAACCCGAAAAAGTCGTATGTAATCCCAATATAATATATTCCCTATATAACCTCCCCCCCCCCGGCCCCCCGACCATTCCCATGCGCATACATTGAGGCTACTGGAAACGGCGTCGGGTCGGGCAGCGGCCGCTGATTCCACCCAAGGCGGTGCCTTGCTCTACTTAGCCAGACCTCCTAAAGAGGTGGTTTAGGGTTCAGGGGTTAGGGGTTAGGGTTTAGGGTTCGGGTTTAGGGGTTAGGGTTTAGTAGGGTTTAGGGTCCATATATTGGGGTTATATAGGGATAATGGAAGAGAAAATGGAAACCCTAGGTCCTTTCAAAGGGATATATATGCATATATATGTATATACAGGGTTATATATGGTTTATATAGGGATAGTGGAAAAGAAAATGGAAACCGTAGGTCCTTTTATAGGGATATGTAGGGTTATATAGGGGTTATATAGGGATAATGGAAAAATGGAAACTAATATGTTATAATAGGGTACATATTGGGATTATGTAGGGTTTAGGGCGGTGTCAAAGACGTAGGGTTTAGGCTTCATTTTTGTTGGATCCTTCGGTGGGTCTGGGTAGTTTGCTGTTGAGCAGCATTTTAATTGCATGTTTCCTTTTGGGTATAAGAGGGGGGTTGCAATTGAGAGTTTAAGCCTTTGGGTGTTGTGAGTGGTGGGCTTTCATGGAGATGCTAATATAACCCTATATTACCCTGATATAACCCCAACATCATCCTATGTTAAAGATATCCCTAATATCATCTGTGGGTTTGAGGCGCGTAGGGTCCAAGATGCAGAGCCTGGTTTCTCAAGCTAGCGTTGTCTTCACGGAGCCTAGAGACCTGCCATCTCATTCAGCTTTTCCAGCAGTCCTTATAAGGGTATGCGAAGAGCTTATATTGACGGGAAACACTAAACCCTAAACCCTAGTGATGACATCAAGGCTCATTTATTCATTCATCGACTCTCATGCGTAAACAGCTGTTATCAGGCCTCAGTCACGCATCGCAGCCCACTGTTGATCATAGCATTTTATGCGAGAACGCCGGACTACTCCCGTCCACTGCATGAAGCCCCAGTAGTTTCCATGTTGGAAAAGTATCCCATATAGGCCCTATATAACCCCCATATTATACCCCTCTCGTTCCTTAATACCATGTGAGGTATCGCCAGCTGCAGCCAGTTTGCAGGCTGACACTGTTGGGGTGCCGGCTGCATCAAGCAAGGCGGCTGAGGGATCGTGGGAAGTGTTTGGGTGGCATCTTTGACTGTGAGGTGTGCCATAAAGGGCCGCAACACCAGATGAGAACTCGGAGCAAAATCGGAATAAGAAGGAGCTGAACTTTTACAACAATTACAGCTCCTACCGTATGACTTGGACGCGAGCACTCCTGCGGCCTGTCTCAAGGCCCTGACACGGGCCAAGACCGTCCCGCTCTCCAGCGAGGAGGGCCAGGCGATTGAATCTTCCATCAAGGACCATTAAGCTTTGCAGTCTATCCAGTCCGTTCGGGGAGGAATCCTTCCGGGGCGAGTGTTGAAGTATTGAACGATTGAGGCACGGGCCAGTCCAATCTGTTCGGATTCGAGAATTGAACCTGATCCGCCAGCCACTTTCACAGGAGTCTCTTCCTGGATACTGGGGCACCCCGGCAGTGTCCGGCAGTTTCTACAATGGGTTTGAGGGCTTGGTGGTTACAAGCAGCGTGAGTTGTCAGGTTACACCGTTGCACTTTTGGCGCGGCATATCCAAGGCCATGCCAACGAAAGCACGGACTTCAATGCCATGCTGTACAGTGGTGAGGACCAGGTGGCTTATTGGTGGTTAGTAGGGAATAAGAGAATGTAATCCCAATATAATCCCTGTATAACATATCCCGTATTCCCTACTAACCCTAAACTCACCTTTGAAACCCTAAACTCTAAATCCTGAACCCTAAACCCTTTTGTACTGTATGTACCAGGGCAAGGAAGTGAGTGGCAAATGTGTGGTTTCCTGTGCAGTCCTGACGGATATGTGCATATATACATATATCCTATACTCACTTACAGTATTCCGAACCCACAGCAAGGTGGAGCACTTCACCGAGCTCCTGAACCACACCTATCGTGCACGTGTCACGCAAGACAGGCGCGTAGATATTCATAAGATAATAGTAGTAGCAATAGAAAGTAGAAGTAGTAGTAGTTGAATAGTAGTGGTAATCGTAGTAATAGTAGTAGTAGTAGTAGTAGTAGGAGGAGGAGGAGGAGGAGGAGGAGTGGGAGGAGGAGGAGGAGGAGGAGTGGGAGGAGGAGGAGTAGGAGGAGGAGCAGGAGGAGTAGTAGCAGCAGCAGTAGCTGCAGCAGAAATAGTAATGTTAAGAAGTAATGATAATTATTGTAGTAATATTGATAACAAGAATACTAAGAAGCAAGAAGATACGAGATTTTCTCCCACTTCGAGCATCGTTCGCCTCATAGTTGTCAGGGCGAGAACAGCTTCAGTGCGGTTTTAAGCGCGCTTGCCTTCTTATCTTACTACTAAGAGAGTGGGAGTGGGCTCTGCCGCACCATGCTTTCTGGAGGCCTTGCCCAAAGGCATCCTGCTCGAAGACACCTGGTGGTTGCCCCTGCGTTCAGCCGGACGGCGACCCAGGTAGGGTCCGGTTGTGAAGACTGGAGCCCTGGGTCAGATGTAACCTGGTTTCAGCAGGTCTCCCTGCGAGTTACGTGGTTCGTCGCGTCATCCGCGTGGAGGACTCAAGGTGCGCAAGCTAGTATGACAGTATCCAAAATGCCTACCTGATAACGCATCACTTTGACGGGCCGCTACAGACTTACACATGTTGGTCTGCAGAATAGGCATGGCAATGCCGCACATGCCATTCGCATGTCAGCATCCGAAGCCCTGAGATGTTCCCCATGACCTCCCCGTAACCCGCCAATTTGAAACCGTATTTGACAGTTGGGCATCTGCTTCTTTTACACTGATGCTTCCGTCTCAGGATGTGGAAGCGCTTCATGAGAAAGCGGGACCAGATTCGACGAAGTAGATCCACTGGATCGAGCACCATCGAGAAGGTGGAGCCTGAGGTCTGTACTTCAGGACCTCTTGCAGTCACGGGACACCTGCTATGTTTTTCTGCAGTACTCGAAGCCTTTGAGTGAGGACTCATCAAGGAGCAGCCGGGAACCTTTGCGCCCGTGGATGAGGGCGTGAATGAGTTCTATCTATGGCATGGTACTCACGTACGGGCAGCCCTGTCCATCGCGCACGAAGACTTCCGCATTGACATGGCTGGCTCAAATGCTGGCACCATGTACGGCAGAGGCTGCTACCTTGCAGAGAATTGCAACAAAGCTGCAGAGTTTAGAGGGATTCTGCGGTTTTGGGGCTACAGACTTTCTCACATGGCATGTCCGAGGCACCAAGGCAGATGAGTATGCCAGAGATGAGCCACATGGCACTGGCCTTAGCCTCTGTTGGCTACAGGCCTTGATGCTACTGTACCAGGGCACCATTCCAAGCACACGTGCCTCTCTGTTGTTGTGCCAATCCACGATCCACCTCCTTACACGATCAGCGCAGATGACTCTTCTAGTGCAGTGCACCCGAGAATCCTCTGTTAGGCTACTATGAGGGCGTCTACGCTCTTCTGCTTTGCCGTGTTTGCATGGGAAAGTTCCTCTACACCACGGAGCGCTACGAAGGAGCAGGCACATGCGTGGCTACAGCACAGAGGATTCCGTTTGCATGCTTAGAGCAAATGCAACTGACACCTCAAGTTAAAGGGCCTGACGCTGAATCCATGCTGTACTTGGGCTGAACGCCTGAACTTTGATTTTGTACATGACCCCCTGGGGAGGTGACAGGGTCAAGTCGGGGGAGTTTGACAGCACCATCGGCGACAGGACCAGCCATCCCTGATCCTGTTTAGATGATCCAATCAAGTTGAAACAGTCTGTTCAGGGTTGAGGGTTTAGGTTTTAGGGTATCATGCGCGAACTGCATGCCTGTTTGAAGTTGGCAAGAGGAAGCACAGGCAGTCAGCAAACATTCGCACCAGCTTCACGCAAAGCCTGGTCATACCTTGAACTCTTCCCTAAATAGGGGGATCCCAATATAGACCCCGAAATAGTATGGTCCTCATTACGGGGACCCCCTCAATATGCTAGCCCTAATTTTAGGGGAAAACCCTCACCTTGAACGCTTCCCAGGACCAAGAAAGCCAACACCTTTCGAGAGTTTGTCGTCTACAATGCTGATCAGGCCGATGCCTGTTAGGGTTTAGGGTTTATTGTTGAAGGTTCAGGGTCTAGGGTTTAGTTTGGGTACTGCCCCCACTCAGGAACAGTTTGATAATAAGCATAATATGGTTATATATAGCCCTTAATAAGACCCCTAATATAGACTGTTACTGCGGGGGGGCAGTACCCAAGGTTTAGTGTTTAACAGGCCCGTGCCTGTTGATTAAGTTCCCATTGCCTGGAAGGGGGGGTTTCCCAAAACCAGGGGAACCTTTTGGGGCCCCAAATAAAAAGGACTATAGTAGATTGGGGTCTATTTTGGGGCACCCCTATTTATTTGAGAAACATGCGTGCTTGTTGTAATGACAATGTGCCAGCACGGCTGGCGGGGAAATTTGCCTACGTCGCCATTTTGGCGCAAGGCCCCAAAACTCGATTTGGGGTTCAGGAACAGGTGGGGGCACTTTTCATCGACCGGGGGGGTCGTTCCTGACTCCCTACAGCGGATTGCTGTGGAGGAAGGAGATCCTCGGTCAGTGGACGGTGCGCTCTGCGCCATTGCCCTGGTGCTTCCTGGCTACCTGCTTGGACGCCGCCTGAGTCCGCAGTGGCCGAAGCACCAGGGTTCCCAATCGTGACTTTTCGAGCTACAGTTCCTTACGTGATCAGCTCAGAGGGCCATGGACCCTACAGAGAGCGAGTTACAAGCCATAACTAGCATCACACAGGCGATGGATTGGTCAGGTGTAGTTGGGGTGTTCGCGCCAGTCTGAACACAGCGTTGGGCGACCCCGCTCGCATTCGGGAAGTGGCTTTGGTGCCCAGGAGTGATTGGGACACCGCCATTGCCAGCCTGAAAGTGCCCAATGGCTCCACACCTCCAACACCAAGAGAACTCACCATCGTCGAAAAGTCCAGGCTCGAGTCCTTTTGGAGAGTTTGCCAGCTGAGGATGGGTAGAAACCCGGACAGGCCTGCAACCACAGCACCGGTGCCAGCCATCACACCAGTGGGCCCTGGGGGCTCAGGATCATGTGCTCCCGGGCGCAAACTCAAACTCAGTGCTGTGTTGGACCCCACGCTTGATGCTGAGATCGTGATGCTCACTCCGTCAGAGCTTCAAACAAAGTACGACGACTATCGTGCCAAGTTCGGCGACTATCCGGCATCAGACGTAGACCCCACAGCGGATCAGCTCTCAGCCCTGGACCAGGTCATCAGGGCAAAGGGGCTTCCATATGCAGATTTCTCAATCTTTGGCCCACATGGGCTTCGGTTACTCAGGAAACAGACGTTTACGTCCTGGACCTTGAATGTCGCAACCAACGAATGGACGAAGAAGGAACTGCCGGGGCCTGCTTCATTCCATGAGTGGTACCAAACCTGGAAGGTGTACCGAACTTCAATGTTGCTGTTGGAAGCCGCGGCGGCTGAGCGCCTTGATGCCTACTCAGAACACATCAGAAGCTTCGTCACGCAGTTTTCGGAGGAGGCTTGGTGGATCATAGCCAGGACAGACACCAGGCTCAGGTCCGAACACATGGAGCGCATCCGCAGGGCTTTGGCCGCCAACCCGGAGTTCGGATACACAACCGCAAACCCATGGTCGGCAGTTTACGCCAAAGCCGTTCGGGATCATGAGTTCCGGACCAAAGAGCTCGTCACTCCTGCAACCCTTTGGCTGGCGCAGCGCAAGAGCACAGCTAGTGCTGTGGGAACTCGACGACCGCTCGACGTTCCTGAGCCAGAGGAGGAGTTCTCTGCGAATCGCAAGCGTAAGAAGAAGGCCAAGACGAAGTACACTGGTGAAGACAAATCCGTCCGCGATGGCAACACTTACACCCACAATCGCAAGGGCGTTGAGATCTGCCGCAACTACAACAAGGGGACATGTGGGTCCTCCGCCGCTCAGGGCAAATGCCTCAATGGCAGATCCCACCAGTGCAACCTGTGTCTCGGACCTCACCCTGCTACTGCGTGCACCCGCTGACAGCCAGAGTATTTCAAGCTGACGCCCAAAGCGCCCAGCTTGGCTCCGCCCAAGGCATCAGGGCCATCTTGTGGCACACATTTTGGGACTCCTATGCCCACTCTGCCCGGAGGAAGGCCGCAACCGCCACAACCTCCAAAGCCCAAGCGGAAGCTAGGCCACATGGAGAAGGCAGGCCCTAAATCGCTGCAGAATCAAGGCTGACGGCCGACTTCGACCAGTGCATGACCGGGTTGCTAACCCGCAAGCCCACTCGTTTGGCAGGTTATCTTGGGACCTGCTCCATGGTGTCATCTGCAACCATCCCCCGCAGCCTCAGAAGATGTCCAACGGTAAAACTTACATGTCCCCACACCCATCAACTGTGGGGGCGTGGAAGGATACTGAACAAGGCAAAGAGAGGCTCTCCAGGTCTCAGGGTGAGTATACCAACATCCTGTGCTATGCCCTCGCCAAAATGCACCATGATGCTTGGAGGCGCAAACAACTAGAGCATGAAGACCTCTGAAATGTTGATTCGGCCAGCCGTGCATCTGTGCCCAAGCGCACTCCTCGTGGGGGCGGGAATCCAACGTTGGCCGATCCCACTGAGGAGTTCGCTGCCTTGCCTATGCGACCCTCAGACAGGGACAGGGAAAACAGTTTGGCGCTCGGGGGAATGCGAAATGCTATCGTTTCGGTTTCTCGTGTCAGGGGCGCAGCTGAGCTTGGGCACGCCGTCCGCTCACTCTTTGCCTCGGCCCTGAGGATGCACCCTCAACTTCGCCAACCAGCCTTGGACATTCTGTCAGGCCGTGAGCCTGAAGAGTATCAGGAGGCATTGATCAGGGATCTTCGGAGTGCGGTGCTAACTCTCCTCGGGGCCACGGATCACCAGCGCCACAGGCAGAGGACGGCCAAAGCATCCACTCCGTTGTGCGCAGAAGTGATTGAGGCGTGGCGGAACCAAGCAGCCGATCCAGATTCGGAAATTTTGGCCCAATGGCTGGACCACGGTGCCCCCTTGGGCTTCAATGAGGACATTCCTACCACTGGAGTCTTCCCGGAAGTCCCGCGCGTGGACCACACGTCCGCCGGGCAAAACCTGTCTCGTAGCCTTCAGGGATGGCGGAACTTCGCCTCAGCAGTTGAGGAGGCCGCCGACCTAAAGGTGCTTGTGGCGGACTACTGCGAACGTGGCTCCTGCCACCTCACTACTTATGATCAGGCGTGTGAGGAACTGGGTGCCAAACCTGTGCTCAACAAACTGGGAGTCATCATCAAGGAGAAGCTCGATGCTCGGGGCCAACAAGTCCGCAAAGCCCGCATAATTTGGGACATGCGTGAGTCTGGGGCCAATCACTGTTGCCACCAGAAGGAACGCATTTTGCTCCCCAGGCTCCTTGACGCTGTGCACGCCGTGCTCCAGGTCTACCGCTCCGGATCTTGTCCATACCTGGCCGCAGTCGACATTCGGGACGCCTTCATGAACATCCCTGCTGGCGCGGACAAGGTGTTCTCCACTGCGGCAATCCCCACAGAGCACGGCATGCGCATCATTGTCTTTGACACTCTCGTGTTTGGGTCATCGTCTTCCCCCAACCATTTGGGGGCGCTTTGCTGCGTGGCTTGGCCGTACAGGGGCCGCCGTCTCCGGGATCAACGCCCAGATTTTTGTTGATGACCCGCTTCTCATCGCAGGGGGCGAGCTGGGCAATGCGGCGGAGAAGATCACTTACCACCTTCTCTGGACCGCTGTCGCGGGCTACCCCACCAAACTAGCAAAAGCTAATGGCGGGAACTCAATTGAGTGGATCGGGGCCACAATCTCGTGTGATGACACTCGTCGTTGCGTGACAGTTGGCATCCCTGAGGATAAGGTTCAAAAACTCCTACGTGAGACTGACCAATTCCTATCCAAGCCTGTGATTGGAGTCAAGCAACTCAGATCCTATGCCGGGGGCCTTTCATTTGTGGCCGGCCTGATTCCCCACCTGAGGCCATTCCTCTCCAGCATCTGGACAGCACTGGCAAGATGCACCACGAATGACGAGCGGTACACTCGTACCTTCAGACGGTTGGTGCATCGGCGTCGTGTTGAACCAGCTCTGAGGTGGGTTCGTGCGCTCCTGGGAGGGCAGCCAGGGCCACTCATCCGCACCTTTTTCGCGGAAAGGCCAATAACCAAAGCGGTCATCGTTACCGACGCATCCCCATGGGGCATGGGAGGCATCCTTCGCATTGACGGCAGGCCAGTGGAGATCTTTTACGAACCCCTCCACCAGTGCCTCTTGGACAAGTTCAATGCCCAACCTGGCCTTTCAAAACATAACACTCTTTGGGAGGCAGTCGCGATTCTCGTGGCCTTCAGGCTATGGCTTCGGCTGTTGCCATATGGGGCAACCTACAAAGCAAAAAGCGACAACCTCTCCTTTCTTGCTGCGCTGAGCGCAGGCCGTACAAAGTCACCTGCGTTGAACATAGTAGCCCGGGAGATTGCCCTTGACCAGGCTCAAGGGGCCTATCAAGTCACTGGGCTAGCGCACATCCCTGGAGTGACCAACGTACAGGCCGATGCCTTGTCTCGGCTCTTTTCTCCGGAGGCAAAAGAGTTTCCCCCGGAACTTTGCGGTGTGTCTAGAAGACGGCCGGACCTTCGCAACATCAACTTTTGGAAGGTGTGAAAGACTGGGGCGCTCCCGCTGTGTTGGCTTGCATGTTCGGCACTACTTCACTTTGCGGCCTTGGTGACCTGATTTTGTTCTGCTTGCATATGTTGATTGGTGGAGATGCCCGGGATCAAGAGATCAGTATCCAGCCAATGGCTAGGCCCTAGAGTTCCCACAGTCAGTAGCGCTCCTAGTAGCATTGATGCTTCAGCGCCTGGGCCTGCGCCCGTGCTACACGAGGGACCAGCTGTTGTGTCACATGACTCCCCACATGTAACACCCAGGGCTTCCTCATTTGAGCCTCTGCCATACGGAAGGGGCTCTGCCAGGGCAGCGCTTCAAGCGGCCGGTAACCCTCAAGCCTGTGTCAAGGTAATCCTTGATGGCGCTAGAGCCGACACGTCTAAGGGTCCGGTTTGCTCGCGGCTTAAACTTTGGACCATGCTCTCTGATAAGGCTGGCTTCCCAGACCCGTTTCAGCTGACTCCCATTCACATTCACACGGTCATGGGAGCTCTCAAGCAATCCGGCTACAGGTCTGCGGCCCAATACCTGGACCTCGCCAAATCAAGCCACGTTGCTGCAGGCCATCCGTGGACCGAGCAGCTTCAGTTGGCATACAAGATTGCGATCCGGAGCTGCAAACGCGGCCTGGGCGCATCAAAACATGCATCAGCCTTGCCGTTGGAGAAGCTCGCCGACCTTGCGGACGACGCAACCTTGGCCCCCCGTGGGCCAGTGCGTCCCATCACCTCCACAGCCACTGCCTCTTGGTGGATGCTCAGGGAGGTTGAAGCGTCCAGGGCAAAAATCAGGCACCTGAAGTTTGACCACATGGCAAAGCGTGTGGACTGGCTCCTCCCTTCGTCTAAGACAGACCAAGCAGCCCTGGGTGCAGTCCGGAGTCACTGTTGCTGTTGTGGGCTCAGGCCCGTTCAGCTTTGCCCCTATCACGGTCTACTCAGGCTTACTGATGGGCGCACCGACGATGGTGATAGACCCATTTTTGTCGATTCCGACGGTCAGCCGCCTTCCAAGGCTGGGTGGGCAGATTCGTTCCAAGCCATCGCCGTGCTTCTCGGCCTGCCCATCGTTTACAGTAACGGGGCACGGGCATATACAGGACATTCCGCCAGGGCTACGGGCGCTCAGCACCTGGCCCAACTCGGAGTGGACGTATGGCGCATACAGATTTTTGGCAGGTGGGGATCTGACGTCGTGCTTCAATACATTCGTGAAGCCCCTGCGTCCACTTTGACGCACCTATCACTTGAAACAGGGTACCGCTTCCAAATTGCAGATGCGAAGCGCCAGCTTGATTCTCTTCTACGCGAAATCAAAGAAGTGCAAGGCCGTGCCGGACCACTTGCACTCCCCTCTTCTGCCTGGCACCATGACTGTGAGACAGTGCATGAGGATACACCACTACAGGCCAGGGCTCAGCCACCTAAAAGTTGCATCCAAAACATGTCCGAAGGAGGTCGAATGCACCGCTGCGCCCTTCACGATCCTAATCTTCATCCCAGGCATTGGCGCACCCGATGCGGCTGGCCATTCGCAGCTGGAGACTCCAATTTTGATTGGGTTGGTGAAGATTTTTCAGGAAAGCGTTGCAAACGCTGTTTCCCTCAGGACAGAGATTCCTCCTCCAGCCCAGGTTCCTCCTCCTCAAACAGCACCTCAAGCTCCAGTTAGCGCGTAGTCAGCAAGTTGGCGTCGATGTTTTGGCCCACTGGTCGCATGAGCAAATCGGGACCAAATTTGCATCTCAGAGTTTTGATGTCCCTAATGGGCGCCACTAGCTGAGATGCGCATCAGACGACCAATGAGTAAAAACACGACCGCGCTTTCGGGACAGGTGGTGAGTGAGGGTGTGCGTGAGTGCGCATTGTCGGAAACTACCAAATCCATTTCCTAGTTTCATTTAATCCGAAAGGCTATGTAGACAACACGCCCCCAACATTTGGCAGTGCAACTTTTGCTCGGAACAGGACTGGAGCCATCTCGTTGCAAGTTCCTACATAATCCCTATGATTAAGATCCCCCAAACCCCTAATATAACTACTCCATCATAACCCCTATCTGTCCTTGTATAACCCCCCAAACCCCTCGTATAGCTATTCCATCCCAGGTCTACCCTGAGTATGTCGTCCTCTACTCTCGGCGTCCACGGGCTCGCCAAGCCTGGCTTTTGACTTTACTTACCTTTGGCTAGTTATGAATGGAGGAGTTCATGCTTGTCGTAGTCCCTCTATAAATAACCCATTATAGTAGTTTCATTTTCTTTTCCATTCCTTCATTCCCAGCTAGCCATGGCCTCCTTCTGTGTGTTCCCTTCAGCCTACCATAGTGCTTAGAGGGAGTGGATCCATAGAATCTCTGCATGACCACCTATATCCACCTCCCCCACTCCATCTTTCGGTACCAGTACAGAAGTCAACCCAACCCTAAATACCCTAAACCCTGGGGATGCAGAGAGCAGCCAGGCTGTGGCTTTGGAGACCTTCAAGTTCGAGCTGGGAGGCGAGCTTCATGCGGAGCTTCCCGTTTACTGGCAGCACTGCCACGTGAACCCCGGCATCAATGCCTTCGAGGCTGGGAGCAGTTTTGTAGAGCCTCTGGGCATGTGTACCTCTATCCCTATATATATATATAAGGGGAGAATGGAAAATAAAATGGAAACTACTATAGTATATGTGTGGTGTAGTCTAAAGTCTAAGAAGTTCTGGAGGCAAGGCAGCAGCCCATGCCAGGCTCAGTACTCCGTTCGTGCGACCTCCCGCGTCCTGCTGCAGCAGCTGGCGCAGGGGTGCTACCCAGGCGGCCCTTGCTTATAATATACCAGAATATACTATACTACACTATAATGGGCCATAATATACTAGAATGGACTATAGTATACCATAATATATTACAATGCTTCACGTTTTCTTCCCTGTCTGCATAAACGCTTGGTCGGATGGGAGCTTTAGCCATACACGAAAAGCCTGATGGATGACAAGGCTTCAGCAGTGTTTGATCTGAGCAAGTGACGTCGAGTACAGTTGACATCCTGCGAATATCATGCATCGGGATGTAATGCATTGCCAGAGCAGTGGCATCATAGACAAGTCCTTCATGCCCTTTGCTGCAGGTGGCACGGGCAGTGGCAGCTTCATCAAGGCCCGGGCATGCCAGCAGCATCAGCAGCATTAGCAGCAAACGCCTGGGGGTCGTGGTCAAATGCACAATTAGGTGACCTACATCAGATACCTGTTGCTCTAGCAGCACTGGCAAGTGGCGACCTATCCCCTTGACAGGTCATCTCTGCCCGACGTATTGAGATGTCCAGCATGTGGAATCGCTACGTGCAGTTCAAGCGCAGGAGGGCTCAGGGTCAGTGGGGCAGTAATCTCAAGGGGCTTGAGGACTTATGTGGGTGCCAGATAGGTAAGGGACCTGGTCTGCTTCCCGCTGTAGGATTCTGCCCTGCAGCTGGCATGTATCAGTGAGCAAAGAACCAGGTAATATGAGATAGTCTCGTAGGGCTACTATCGTACATGAATGTAAATGCCAAGTAAATGACAGTAGCGTTTCGTAGCAGACCTACCTAGCCCTAAACCTTTTCATATTGAATTTTCTTCTCCATTTTGATTCTCCAGCAAATATTGCTACCCTAAACCCTCTACAATTGTATAGACCCCTTGCTGTATAGTCTGATACATGACGCAACATGCCGGCTCCCTTTAGGCCGGCTGAGCTGCAAGTCTTCTCGTCTAGGCTTACACTTAGCCTGCGTGCAGGGATCCAAAAAAATCCCAATCGGATGGGGTTTTGGCGGATTTGCTATTACAAGTACAGGAGTCAGCCCGAAACCTTAAACCTTAAAACCTTGAAACCTCAAACCAAACCTTGAACCCTAAGCCCTAAACCTTGAACCCTGAACCCTAAACCCTGAACCTTGAACGCTAAGCCTTAACCCTAAACCCCAAACCGTAAAGGCTTGTGGTTCTCTCCCCAACAAAGAGCCTCAAACCACAAAACTTGAATCGTTGATTTTTTGTGAGAGGATTCGATGGAGGTTATAGAGGGAGAGATCAAGGTAGAACCATGACAGGAATACAGGAATAACAAGACATGACTCGGTACAGTGTTAAGAAATACACTCTGGTTCCCATGAAAAGTGGTCGTGGTTTTCGTGTTTGTTTGAACCGTGGTTACAACCCTACCTCACGGGGCTATATATCCCTGGATACTTAACTCAGACGTCCTGTGGTTTGAGGGGTCCTGCAAAGTTGAACTGGGTTGTTCTCAAAATAATGGGCCTCTTTTGGGTATATATCGCCTAATATTTAGGTACGAAAATGGGACCCGAACTTGGGAACTACCCAATTAGGCCGCATCTGATTCAGCGCTGGCCCCAAACCCTGAACCCAAGAGTAGAAAACCAGTAATAAACCTTAGCGCTAGAAACCCCCACACCCTGAACCCTACCGTTTCAAAAGACCTACAGTCCTTAAGCCTTAAACCCTAAACCCTGTACCCTGAATCCTATACCTAAGCCCCAAACCTGAACCCATCCTATACCCTAAATCCTAAACCTTGAACCCTGAATCCTGTTCTCTAAACCCTAAACCCTAAACCCCTGGCAGAGGCTTCGCCAGGAGCTGGAAGCGTCCGGTCTGGCTGCCTTTGCTTCGGCCGAGCTCTTGGAGGGCAAGGCTGCTGGGTTTAGGATTTAGGGTTTTTTGGCTTAGGGTTTAGGATTTAGGGTTTAGGGAGGGTTCAGGCGTTCAGGGTTTAGGATTCAGGGTTTAGGGTTTCGAACTTAGGGTTCAGTGTTTAGCGGGTCTTAGGGTTTAGGCTTTGGGGACTTTGGGGCCTGGGGTTAGGGTTCAGGATTTGAGGATTTTGCGTGTGGGGTTTGGGTTAGGGATTCATGTTACAAGACTTAACCGTACGGGGCTGCAGGGTTTGGATTTTGGAATTGATGGTTTGACATCTCAAGGTGAAGTGTTTGATTCTGAGTATGTTGGTGTTGCAGGTGAAGGCGAGATCTAAGGTGGACCCCCCACCCAGTAATATTACAGGGTGGGCGGTCCTCCTAAGCAAGATCTAAGGAATCTTGCATCAGATTTTGCCAGTTAGGCGCGAGGCATTAGGTAGACCCCGCACCCAACAGGATTCTATATTTCTCTTATGCCACTACTACAGGGGGGGTTCCGCCAAAGTGAAGCATTTGTTTTGCTTGGGCAAAATGCAGTCCCGGCCAACATGCAAGCCTGCAGTACAAGATCATTCTAGGTGCCAAAATACTTACCAATATTGTGGTCCAAGTTTCCTGAGATAGATATAGTATAGGGAACTTCACAGAGACATCAACATGATATTGGGAATTATTCAGGCCCCTGTATCACTTCTACGGTTCTTAGGCGTCAGTAACGCCTGCGTTTGAGTTTTGTCCTTGGAGAGCAAATTTGATGCGACAAGCTTCCTGATCCTCTCAAGTAATGTGATGTAGGCATCGATTCTTGAAAGCGTTTTTGTCGGGATTTGCTGAATAAAGCTTTGCCGCACAAAGGACGCTAGTTTGTTTTAGCCCACAGGCAGAAAAGGCTCTCTTTGATTTTGGCATCTGTCGGCAGTAGCAGTGCTCTCCATACCCTTCCGTTAAAACAGGATCTGTGAGGTAAGGACCTCACAAGCGGACCCGTACCTGTAGAAATCTTCCATTCCCATCAATCAGTACTGAGAGCAGGCCACTCGTGGAGCGCCTCGAAACGCAATAAGGCAGTTTTTCTAGGTAGTCCCTCTAGGATCCTTCAGACAGCTTTCAATGATTGTGATGATAAAGCCCTTTCAATAACATATCGGCATCTTCCAGTAGTCTGTGGAGCCCTCTTAGCGGTCATTAACTTGGATCCTCTTGTGCACGGGCCGGTCCAGGAACTTTGGCATTAGATGGATGCTGTGCTGTCATGCAGAAGCCAAGCAAGACGAGTTTGGATCGAATTGAGAGGGTGAGTAATAGTAATAATAATAGTAGTAATAGTAACCATGATAGTGATACTAGTAATAAGAGTAATAATAGCAGTAAAAAGAGTAATAATAGCAATATGAACGTAATAGTAGAAACCATAGAAACAATACTAATTACAGTAATTACAGTAATGATAGTAGTAACAGTGATAATACTGGACTGCTCTGGTGTCGCGATCGCCTTAGGAGATCCTAACCTACAGCTACCTGAAGAACCTAACCGGCAAAGGACCATGTGGGATTTGAACAAGTTGATGCCTTATTTAGGGATAGGTTATGGGAACTATGTAGAGGTTATATAGGGGTTCTATGGAGATTACACAGGGTTCAGTGATGCTACTCCCTCAAGAATGGAGGATCAAATGGCAAATGGAAAATGACATTGAAACTGGGGTTACGTAGTGGTATATATGGGCTACTGTCAGTATTAGCCTTATTCAGATACCCTTAACAGTGGACGTAGGGGTCCCTCTTGTAGTCTAGTATAATCCGTAATATAGTCCCGAATAAGGAACCCATGTCCATTAATTGTCTGGAAAATTTTGACTGTAGCTTGAATGAAGACGCAGATGCGTGATGGTGCTGTCGCGTAAATCAAGGCTTCCTGAGACTGCACGCAGTTATGTATTCACACGTAGTATACCTATCGTAGCATTCTGTCTCCATTTTTCCATATCTTTAGATATCCCTTTTTAATTTCCAAATAATCCCAACATTTGCAAAAAAGACCCCGATGGCAAGCTATTTGCCGGACCTGCAAAGTGTCTTTAGCAGTTTGAGCTGTGTGGCAAACAAGGGGTTCCTTGTCAGCTTGCTAGTGCGAGTTTGAGGAATCATGCGCTTTAGGGTTTACGGTTCAG